TGACTTTAGTGTGATTTCACTGTAGATCAGCGGGTCTACCATGAAATGAAATTCCGAAATTTCGGACTCAATTTCGTATTTTTGTTTATACTAAAATAGGACCAATAAATCGAGTTTAAAATTTCCTTCGTAATACATCCTATCATAAAAGTCCAAAAGAACAATATTTTAACATTTTTAATATTTCCAAACGGCATGTATTATGTAATTTGAACATCAAATTTATATTTCGTTTGACTCCGAAATTTCGGAAAACTTTTCATGGTAGGCCCTCAGTAATCTCTACATGTAAATTTAATACAGAGGCCTCCTATTCGCCTACATATAATTTTAAAGTCATTTATCTCACATTTATCTTCTGGTGATTTGTGTACAACTGTAACCTACATCGAAGAAGAGCTATATGTTTCGACTAATTACTGATGGAATATTTTAGTCTATTAGTAAGATGTTTCCAGACGTGGTACACCAATTAGTGTTAATCATCTTTCCGTTTCCGTAATAGGTGGGTCGACTTATGGATTGTATTATAAAATGATTTAACTTATAGGTTTTAATATTTGTACAAAAGTCGATTGCTTGGGTACCTCTGTCCCATTCAACCGAGAAGCAGTTGTGTTTGCGTGGCTGTATTTTGGTTTGAAGGGTGGGATATGGCATGAATTTACAGGGTACAGAGGAATAACACCTGAGTCCTCAGGAATGGCAACGCATGGGGGGTATCATGGGCGAAACAGTATATTCTGTTATGTCCATGGTACTGCTCATGTCTATAGGCGACGGTTACCACTTTCCATCAGGTGGGTCGTCAGCTTGTTTGCCATTCTAAGTTGTATAAAAAAAATAGAAGATATTATACCCAATGTATGCTAATATCTATACTATGTAGGTATATAAATTTAACGCATAAATGCAATTAAGTATATTTATATTAACTAGGCGCACTCGGAAAATCACTTGTGCATGGTGACGATTAACTAAGTCTGATAAGTAATCATCACTGATGATAATTTTAAATGTTAATTATCATTTAATTATTAATTTTAATGAAATTTATTGTATATGTCACATGTAGAAAAGGTTATATATTAAATAGGGGTTATTCAATATATAATATCGAAATGAGGCATGCATGATCGACTAACACCATGCACATTTATTATTCAAGTAATCGTTTAGTGTGTAATAGGCTTTGTTCAATAAGTGTTTTTCTTTTTTTCAATAAAAGTTTTAAACTTATTAAAAGACAGAGCCAAAATATTTTTTGGTATCTTATTATAATATCATACAAGTAGATAGTTATATTGAAATCAGAAAATCTATCATAAACAACAAACAAAAATATATTGATGTTTTTCATAGGTATCTATTACTTACACTTATATATCTAATTACTTGAATAGCAACAGAGATATTGACAAATAAAAATAATTTCATAATCAGATGATTCCCTTTTTATTATTATTACTTGTAAAATAAAATCAGATATAACGATCAAATACAAATATGTTTAATACTGTAAAGAAATCACATGATTGATAATACGTAATGACGTTCTTATCAAGTAATCTAATTATTAAAACTGATTTGTTGTCAACGAATTAATGTCACGTTTACACGTCATACACTTCCACTGTTGCACTTGCATGTTTGCAATGTCACATACTGCACTAATTTTCTGAACAAAGTTAAGAAAGTACGAACGTAAATATATTAATTAATTATACGTTTCATAAATATATACATCTTTTTTTATATATTAACTCTTCCTTTCCTGTGGGTGTCGTAAGAGGCGACTAAGGGAACTTAGTCGAGGGATGGGTAGCAACACCAAAATCCTAACTACTGTTGCCAACCTGCCCGCCAAGCGTGGCAACTATTGGCAAAACTCCTCTAATGGCGGAGCCTTATGTTTAGTAGTGGACAGCTAACGGCTGATATGATGATATATAAACCTGTCTACAAGTTATATGTATACATAGCGACGTGTCGGTTGGAAGTTGGTATAATACTGTATACTTATTGACAAATACATGTATTTTTTACTTATTTTTTTTTTTATTAATACAGGAAGTTTTAATTAGAATATTTTAATGTAATTCAAAGTTAAGTTCTCTACAATTTTTTATTTTTATTTATACATATAAACATGTATGAAATAAAAATCAACATATAAACTACTAAATATATTAATAAAATAAATATAAATTTATAGAAATATAAAATAAACATAAATAAATATAAAATTATTTAAATAATTAAGTAATTTTATTGACCAATAAAAAATATGGTACAAAAGACGGGCTTAATGCTAGTAGCATTCTCTGTCAGTGAAATACGAACGCGGTACTAATGTGTACCTTTATACAATAAATAATGTATATTTAATAAATGTAACTTAAAAATTCTAATAATATAAAATGATGATTATAATATATATATACATAAATATTAATATTTTCCCATATGAACGTAGTTTGGTAAACAATAGAAATATTTTGAGTTTCCCATACTGACTTAATTACTGATAAAATACATCCTTAAAGCGATATTGATAAATTTGAATATATTCTTTTCAAATAGTGATATCTAATAGTATCTAAGATATAAATATATAATCTACTTTCTAGTGGTTATGTCATTGAATCAATCTCTAATTGTATTTCTGCATTCAATAAAACGGTAGACAATGAAATATAATAAATACAGGAAATGTGCAAAATGGAAGTAAATTACGACAATGAAATTTGATTGTAAAATTGATTCGTTCACATGCATTTGAAGGTTTACTCAAACTGTCTTTGGTCACTTAAGATACCACGTTTTTTTATACTACTGAGGTGGCAATCAAGCATACGGCCCACCTAATGGTAAGTGGTTACCGTAGCCTATGAACGCCTGCAATACCAGGGGTATTACGCGCGCGTTGCCGACCCTAAAGAAACCTCTTTACCCCCCTTTTGAAGAACCCCATGCTGTAATCATAACGTTTTGAAAAGTTAAAAAAAAATAGACTGACATCATATTGTTCAAATAATGCAAGCCAATGCGGTGATTGTTAGAGCTGGTAAAATGTTTAGTTAACTATAATGAAAAGTTGTAGTTGTGCCATTCCCGGATTTCTTTGTTGTATGTTAACCCTGATAGATTTTTTTATGTACAGATGAATTTTGGAGATAATGCAAAGGGCAGGTAGATGGATTTGAATCTTAACATTTTACGGCTGTTGCTGCAATAACAGTTTAAATTCTTTTATATTTTTAGCATTCTTCAATATGATGTATGGTATCCTATATATTGCACGCTGTTTATACCTATAATTTATGGCATATGAGACTATAAATTATTTACAAATATTTAAACATAAATGTATCAATTATTAGTAAATAATAAATAAATGAGATAACCGTTGAAACTACAGAAAAAAATGTTTTTAGAAAAATGTATTAGTCTAAATGCAAAATATACTGCGTAAAAATACCAAATGTTTACAATATTATGAATGTGAGAATAAGATTTTTTTTTGTAATCGTTTATATTTATAATAAGTGTACTATTGTAATCTTATTGAGGAAACAATAAATAGTATCTATCTATCTATTTTTTTAATTTTTGGCGGCTTTTTATTAATTGTTATATATTTGGGCATACATGTAATGTATGAAATGAAGCAGCCTCTAAGTACCTACATGCGAAAGAATTAGAGACATCTATCAGGCGATGCTTGCGAGATACGTAATCAGAAGGCAAATAACCCTCTTGTTGCTGTGTAATAAATTTGGAAAAAATCAAATTTAGATGGATTGGACAAAAGGCATAAAGAAATAAGTTTTATGCAATCCAGCATAATATATACAGATATGTCTTCCAGAAACACCCACAAAGAATATGAGTTTGACTATAGTCGAATGAGTGTATGGTCATAAGAATTATTATTTTTTTTTTTTAATAAAATTCAGCCTATGTTATTGTAGTTTTTTATAGTACGTGGAAACTCTGTAAATGAAAGATTTTTTAAAATCAGTTTTAGTTTATCCATCATAAACAAAAATCAAATCTTTCTTCTTCATAATATGTATTACGGTCAACACTGATTCTATTTAGTTATATTTTACTGTTACTTTTTGGCATCACAACAAAAATTTTGTTTTATATACATACATATTTTTAGTTGTTCATAAACGAATATTATATTAATGCAAAGAATTCGATTATGTCAGAAAACTTTCCTGATTATCTAATAGGACAAACAGTGTTATTGTAGAAAACAAAATTGTAGTGTTATTGGCAAGCGACGCAATCAGCGTGTCATCCGCCCATCAAAACCATGTGTTTTTTGCTACATAACTTATTTGTTCAAGTATGAGTTACAACCCTCCCATAACACAACTATAAACCATAAGTTATATGAATCCAATCATTTGTATATCTATGTATATAATTGGCAAATTATTTTCGTGATTTTTTATGTATATTCAACATAATAACTACCTTCAAAATATTAAAAAATTCAAATTATTGCCGTTTACACGCAAAATAATAATAAATATCAATTAATTTATTAAAACAATTCTATTGTTGCAAAAATTGTATTAATACATTATATTTTCATCATTCGTATAGTGGTTCAAGTACAAGACATTTTTATCAGCGTCAACTGTTTACCGTTTTTTAGTTTTCAGGGAACAGGTAACCGGATAAGTTAGGTAGACCGTTTAACAGTAGCACATCGATAAGTCCGCGCGTCTCCTAAAATCAGCCGGGTGCGCCAAGTGGCCTACGTGACTCGGGGCCCTCTCGCTATGGCGATAGCCGCCAGACGAATTCCCGCCTTATTGACATGAAATCAATTTACACATGAAAATTCCACAATCTACCCACTTACGACGGTGGAAATGCAATCATTGCATAGAGATAACCTTCGGTTATATAATACGTACACGAAAAAAAAAAAGAGCACGTGTCCAAAAGTCACGGATCAGCTGATCGAGAATACTCACCCCACGAATTAACCAGGCCAATATATAGTGTGAAAATTGCAAGTAAGCACTGTATTTTACACATTTTGTTTCATGAATTTTGTTGTGCTTGATATAAAGTGCATTTAGGTTCGAATAATATGCGAGTTTTGGTCCGACCGACGGTAGAGGGCGGTACGTGACACCAACGACCGCGCGGTGCGCGTGTGAACACCAAACTAAATTCCGGTACGCGATGCTAAAATCTAAATGGGAATGTGTCCATTGAAAACTTCAGTATTTCGCGCATGCGGCTGTCTTATCAAGTTTATCACTCACTACGTGAGTACACTAAAGCGGTACCGTACTCGTAAAGTTAGTTTTCTTGAACCGCATTGTTAATATAAATAAAATGTGGTATTAATATGCATGTATGGCTTATATATTGGATAGTGGTGATTTAATATAGAGTTTAATATAGAACGTATGAAAAATATATAGTTCAATTTAAACTTATAAAAAATATATAAATTTTGAATTAATTAAAACCGTATGTGACGGATTATGTGGTTTTTTATTGGATGATAATGATATGGTAACCCCGCCTGTGCAAACAGTAAGCCATGAAAAAACAGGTCTGTTAGACCATTGTGATGAATACATCTGGAATTCAGCACGACGGTTTCCAGGGGGGACCATGTGGAGATCGACCTGACAGGGTAATCAGGGTAATGGGGCTGGTAGTCTGCTTTAAGTAAAGCGGTCTACCAGCCCCATTTCTTCTCCGCCGTAAATAGTCACTATTTAGAATATAGGGTGTGAAAATTAATTCCCTGTCGATGGCGAGCGGTGCGATGTTAAAAAGTACGTGGTACAGAGGCGGGCTTAATGCTATATTATTCTCCTCCAGTCGACATTCTCTGTAATTCGTTTTTCCTGTAATCTGAAAATCCTTTTCACAGCGATACGTGACTAAGGGAGCAGTGTAAAAATAGCATCGTAGATTGATTGCAACTGATACGTGGATTTTGTACCCACTTAATGTCAATACTACAAATACTATTCAAAAATTAATCTGATAATGACTTCAGTTGACTTACCAAACGTCTGGTGAAGATTATCTTTAGTAACTTCAGAATAACTTTTTCCTACCATAATGGTGATAAATAAGTATATCTACAGTATCTGATTGTAAACGGATATCTTAGCTTAAGGTATATGCAATACTTAGGGTGTCACGTACGCATTGCCGTCTCCGATGATTTACTGGTTGTTTGAACTTTGTTTATTTTGTTTAGTATATGGATAGAATTTACTGGGTACAGAGGAATAACATCTGAGTTCTCAGGAGTGGAAACGCATGGGGGTATCATGGTCGAAACAGTATACTCTGTTATGTCCGTGGTACTGCTCATGTCTATAGACGAAGGTTATCACTTTCCATCAGGTGGGCTGTCAGCTTGTTTGCCATTCTAAGTTGTATTAAAAAAATGTATATAAGTATTATTTTTAAATTAGATCATGGTCTATATGTCTATACAATTATTATTAAAAAATATAGGAGATTATCTTAGTGACAAAACTGCTTGATATAAACCTTTACTAATATAATAGATGTGAATGTGAGTTCGTTTGTTTGTTTCCACTTAGTGCCTTAACGACTTTACCAATTACTATGAAATATAGTATAGATACACGTACTATGTGGGATAGAGAAAGATATATGTAGGCTTTTTATTCCAGTCAGTGTTTTGATGGGTGAAAATGGTATGGTAACCCTGCGCTAACGGAATACGCTGGCGGAGCACCAGTGAAGGCTGATAGATAAGAATGAAAACAGGCCAGTTAGCCCATCATGATGAATTCATCAGGAATTAACCATGATAGTTTCCAGGGAGAACCTGGTTGGGTATATTGCTAGCAATGGGATTCTTAGTCTCCATTACTAACAATCCCTTTCCTCCCATCCAGTCAGTGTTGAAAGCTAGTACTTCATTACCTGAATGGCTAACATGGAACAATTATTATTGTAGAACATTCGGCCTTGTCGTGTTTCACGTTCAAGTCCAGCTGGAGGAAAACGAACGTATTTTAGTGCCATCTAGTCAGAGAAATGAAAATATTTTGAAAGAATGAAACAATTCGTTACCGTAATTCATAGGAACATCAACAACATATATAACATTATAACATATATAACAAACATTTAATATAATAATACAATATTAATTAACCCAATATTAATTTTGATATACATAATTGTATTTTACAATCGATAGGCTTCAGTTCCGTAATGGTTTCGTTGTAATTGTCACGATATTTTTTAATTTAAAAAATTAACAAATAGGGTTTGGTTCCTTAACCAAATCCTGTTTGTTATTTTTTAAATGTTGTTTGAATTTATTGTAATCAGATAGTGTATTGTTTTATACTGTCTAATTAACATAAAATTTGGATATATGTCGAAGAAACAAATTGGCCGATATAGCTCACAAGCTGAAGGGCTCTACTCGTATATGGCCTTTTATTATAAGACTAGAGTAGCACGAATAGCTAATAAAGCTCCACGAGTGGCGACAAGGTAAAGCAAATGTGCTGGAATGTGTGTACGAGGGGGAAAGAGATCGTAGGAAAGGGGCTTCACCCCATTACTAGCAATATATCCTCGTGTTTAATTATAATTGAATTCTTCAAGATGGGCTAACTAACCTGCTTTCATCCTCATCTCTTACTGGTGCCCCGCCAGTGTATGGTATACCGATAGCACAGGCGGGGTTACCATACCATTATCACCCATTTAAAAATTGCGCTGTAGGACGACCCCAACTTGATGGAGCGACAACCTTAAATGTGTATTAATAGATGATAATGGAATGCTAATACATGCAGGGTACAGATAGATAATCCTAGGTCCAAGCTGCTATGGCAACTTTAGATACGTATTATAGCTAAGGATATATATATCTCATAATCCATCGGGCTGGAATAGACTTGCAATTGTATTGTAAGACGGGCTTAGAGTGCTTCCAGCAGTTGCTCCTGCACGCGTTCGGTTAGGTTAGGCTATACCTACTATAAAGACAGATCGCCCATACAGTGGCCGTCTGCCAACAGCAGTAGAGTAACCCGAAACAAGTAGATTATAAATTTGTAGTATAATACGCTGATTAACAAATTATTCAGATTGTGTTTCACAAAAAAAAAAAACATACTTCAATTACGGCAAAACGTGTCAAATATTTTACTGAACTATGTGTTATTTTGCGGAATTTCATATCACTGGTTATTTCATTAGTTATTTCACAGGTTATTTCCATTGCCATAAAAGCGGAATTAAACAAAATAATTCTTATGAAATAACTAGTTCATTTTCATTCAAAAACTAAATTACTGAACCGACTTTGATAAAATTTCTGTGAGACCAAGTAACTATTTCAGATAAAAAAAAACATTTTCCAAATCAGTTTATAACTGACGAAGTTATGAGGTAACAAACATAAAAAATGCAACAAAAATAAAATAAACCCACAATCGATATGAGAACATCCTTCTTTTTGAAGTCGTAATTGAAAAACACGACTGCTTTGCCAAAAACGAAAGAATACAATATAAAGCCAGAAAGAATAATACATTCGAATCTGTTCAAGCTAAGTTAGAAGTTATAGTGGAATAAAGAGACTCACATAAAAGAATTCTAAAAACACTGCATTTGTTTTTTCATATGATATTATAACACAAGCATTGTGATTGCTAGTTACGAATATAATTATACAGCGTCACGCTGTTAGAGCATCCCTTCTGTTAAAGAAACGTAACCAGGCCAATGGCAGATTTCATATGCTCACGGGTACATGCGCACGATTTTAAATGCGATTTAATGCCGGATACTCCATACATATCAGTTAATTGCTTTATGAACGCAGACGGGTTTTTAAAGGATGAAAATGCAATGGTAACCCTAACTACTAAATGTTGGCGTTAGAGGGTGAATAGGGATCAGATGGCTGAGTTAAGTTCAGGCGGTGGAGCGCAGGGGGGAGTAATGTTACGAGATGTATTGAACCCGGCGTGGGCGATATCGAAATGGGCGATGGCTTTTTTAGAAATCCAATATATAAATATCAGATTCGGTAGACACACGGCGTGGGTGATATTGAACCCGGTGTGGGTGGGTGATATCGAAATGGGTGATGATCTTTTTTGTCTTTTTTTTTTTAATTCTATTATGCTATTTTTTTTAATAGGTGTAAATGAAATTGTAAACCCCCACTGCGCTCTCGATATGCATAGGGTACCAGGGAATACCCTCCTAATGCTCCTCAAATATTGCGTCTAAACTGCACCCACCATATACCCTCTTATATAGGCATTCCGTCACCCATATCCAATACCGAGGACGGGATGCCTTAAATACTGTACCGAAAACCATAAAAAAAAGTCCAGAAGAATCCAATAAATAGATATCGGATCGGTATCCACGTTAGCCATGCCTAGTTATAATGATTAAAATAGTTGTTATTGTACGGAGCAAAATCATAATTTATTAGCATACATACAATTAGTTACCTGTCTACAAAATCTTAGTTTATTTACTTTAGTTCCGGTCAACATTAGTTTCCATATGCGGTTGCGCAACACGACATAATAGTTCCCTTTATACTTTCAGCAGATAAGAAGACCAAGGCTGTGCCAATTACTTGTAACGAAGTATATAATATATTATTTTAATATCGAATGTAAATAAATTGTCACTGTCTAGTTTAATCGGTAACAATCCAACTTCCTGACACGTTTACACTTCCCCCTTTACTTCCGAGACGTGAGATTTCCGATTGTCGATTAAACAAAATGTGAAATATGTGACAATATGGCATAAATAATATTATGGCATAATACCGAATATGAGTGTATCGTGCTTATCTTTATAAGGTTCCGTATATGTATTTTTTTATATTAAATTTAAGTGCGATTGACCATTATCTAGTCGAATCATGCAAACAATGCCTATTTACTTTAACCTTGAAAGACTATTTTTTTTATTGACATATTATTAAAAAAAAAATATTCAAAATGAGGAACTAACACTATGTTTTTTTTTTAATGGGTGATAATGGAATGATAAACCTGCTTGCGCTATTGATATTTGCTGGCGGGGCACCAGTGAGGGATGATAGGTGACGATGAAAGTAGGTCAGTTAGCCCATCGTGATGAATTTCACTAGAATTAACCACGATGGTTTCCAGGGGGAACCGCGTGGTAA